CTGTTGATTAACTAAAATATGTACATATGGTGGATGGTGCAGAAATATGTACCTCTGGAAGGAGGCAAAGCAAACTTGGTGCATACTAGTTGGGCTCTGATGGGTCTAATTCATTCTGGCCAGGTTAGTTTGCTTAAACTTTTCTTTTGTTTATTTATTTATTAGTTTTGTCTTTCATGTCGGAAATAATTATTTACAAATTTTAATATATTTAAATTTTTTGTATTATTAAGGAGTTAAGTTAAATATAAATTATAAATATAATAATTAATATTTACTTTTTGATTTTTCCTAAATAATTCATATATTAAATTTAATTATGGTTTATGAATTAAATTTAATTATAATTTATCTATTTAAAATTTTAAAAGTTATATCAGTGCCTATATATATTTATATACTTGAAGATTTATAACAAAAACCACAATTGAAAATTTATCTTTTTATTAGTGTCTTATTTTTTTCCTCCTATTCTCAATGAAGTATTATTTTGAGTTAACCTATCTTTTAAAAGTTTTTTCGCCAAAGTGGTATCAAAACTTAGTTCATTCGTTTCTTAATTCTCTAAAACTTTAGAAAGATAACTAACGATGATTTATTCTCCTTCCAATTTCCTCGTCTTACAAAAAAAAAAACATATGGTAGTTTATGTCTTTGCATGAAAGTCATCATTGACTCACAAGATGTGTGAGATATTGTAGACAGAGATTTTACTCTATTGAAAAATGAAGCCCATATTGACTCAAAATGAAAAGGATGCTTAAGCAAAAACAAGGAAGAAGGATCAGTAAGCTCTTGCTCTCATTCATCAAGGCTTAAATGAATCTACATTCTTGAATATGGTTGATGCTATTAATGCAAGTTAAGCTTGAGAGATTTTGAAGAATTCCCTTGAAAGAGGTAACAAATGATGCAGAACTCATGACCAACCAATATGATAAAAAATCCACACATATAATTTAGTACGTAAAACTTAATCCTAAAATAAACCTTCCCTATTTAATCCACAATCAACCTGTAATTACAAATGAAGGTAATTGAAGAAAAAAATAAAATTAATAAAATACCATAAGAGTTACCTTGATAAGTAGAATCGATTCCTCATTTAACAAGAATATTGAAGAATCTCTCAAAGAGTACTTAAAATAGCCAAACGCTACAACAACTTCGTATTTTATTGACTTAAATAGATCAATTTACAAGCTAAGTAAAGAAATCTTTACATAGCCATAAGCCTTACTAATCTGAGTAGAAACCAATAATTAAATCCTAGAAAAACTCTAAATACAATCTTATCTAGGATTCTAATTAAAAATTAAATTAAAGAGTCATAAACATAAAGGAAATAGAACTCTTCTCTTTTGAATGGTGCCTTGGCCATGGCCGAATGCATCCTTGACTTTATCTTGGATTCTTAACTTGATTTTAGACTCTACTAATTAATGAATATTTGATGTAGAATTCGTATTGAAGATAAAATAAATTTTAGACATATTTAATTAGGGAAACGACTCATTTTTCTAATAGGAATCAACTAGATAGGGGAATCCTCATTCGTTTGAGCTTTCATACTTTAAATATGCTTCCAACTCTTTTAAAATATTAATTTGTGAAGAGAAAACCAATTAGGACTTACAGAAAGATAAATTCGAACTCCTTGAAGGGAACTTAATGCAAATCCTACTTGAAGTAGGACTCGCATATCGAATTGAAGATGAGAAGTGGAAAAAAGACACTATCATGGGAGGATGCATGACCGAGCTTCCTCTTAGCCAAATAGACTAAAAGCTTCTTCTTTATGAGATTCTTTCTTGGGCTCGCACTTGTTTTCTTCATGAATCTACTCTTGGACACATAATTGGAATGCTTGCTAGAGTTTCTTAGCTCTAGATCTTGTGATTGGTCTACTAGGCATCATTATACTCTTCCCAAGTCCATAATTCAACATGTCCACGCTTTGTTTATCTTGGTGGATTTCATGTGGGTGCAATTTAGGGTCTAAACCTTTTTAACCATGTGTTGGATTGTCTTTCCCAAGACTTAGATGGATGGAGTGGTCTTTGAATGTTTCATGCCATCCAAGATCACATCATCCCCCCTTCTTCGAAAAGATTCATCATTGAATCAGTAACTTTTTTATATAAGGACTTTATCAACTCTGTCTTATTTGAAAAATATCAATAAAGTCATGCAAAACAACACCACTGGATAAAGAAGGATTAAAATTAGTTAATCGACACTTTTTCTCCAGGTCACCTATTACCTCCTCTCTTCTTGACTTCGCCTCGCAAGAATTCTTGATCTTGTGTTGATCCTCAAATACCTCCTTATGTGAGAGTGGTGCAAGAATAAAGTTATGATCATTTATGTTAAAGAAATAAAAATTCCTACAACCATTACGAATTGAAAGTTTGTCATATTGCTAAGGTCTTTCATTAGGATGTGACTTACATGCATGGGTTCACTGTCAGAATGGACTTTATCAATGTATGTAGTAGAAAAAGATACCAACATCTACTTAGTCACTTTCACTTCCCCGTAGTAATTCAACCATTATAATGTGTAGGGATTAGAATATTTCACGCATGTCAACCCAAATTTATCAACCGAGGTAGTATTGGTAACATTTGTAGAAGTACCTCCATCTATAAGCAGGCTATATACCTTCTCATTCAAAAGACAACGAGTGTAAAATATACTCTCTCTTTGGTTATTATCTTTTTGTTTGATTTGAACATTTAATATTCTTTTAATAACCAAAACTTCCCTCTGAACTTGGTATTCCACATCTTCCTCAACACCCTTCAACGACGGCATGCTATCATTAATTTCATCTTCACTTGCACTACCAATGTCACCATTATCTTTAAGTAATATGATTTTTTGATTAAGGTATTGTGATGCAATGTGTCCAATGCCCAAACACCAAAAACATTTGATATGACTATACTTTTAAATAAGAATAAATATTTTTATATTACCTCTAGTGTATATTTGCTTAAATTTAGTACCCTTGCCTTTAAATTTCATATTTACTCGGTCATTTGGGATAATGATTACGCAAGGAATATGAAAATTCCTTTGTTTCCTTTTTATGCTTTAGTTGTTTTTTAATCTTCATGGCCGTATAGACTATGTCTTTCAACTCGACATAATATTGTAACTCAACTATGTTGGCAATCTCTCGATTCAAAATACTCAGAAACCTCACCATGGTAGCTTCCGGGTCTTCTTCTATATTGGCTCGAATCATGGTTATCTCCATCTCCTTATGGTAATTTTCCACAAACATGGACCGATGCGTTAATCTGTTGTAACTTTTTTTGCGTTTTGTAGTATTAGTAGGAAGGAACAAACATCTTTCTCATTATGGATGGTTTTCATGTCTCTCTAGGTTGAGATATATTGTTCTCCATTATGTTTTCTACTGAGTAAAAATTGATCCCAGAGCATAATCGATAAATTCACCTATAACAAGCTTCTTCTTTTTCTCATTGTAATTATGGCAATCAAAGGCAAACTTTACCTTTTATTCCCACTCCAAGTAGGGTTGAGTATCATTCCTTCCATTAAAAGGTGGAATCTTCATCTTTATTAAGCTCAAGTTGCTGTTTTTTATTCTTCTCTTTTATTACCTTGGACCTCCCCCATGTTACGATCATTACAATACCCGACCTCTTCCTCTTAGATTCAATTTCTAGGCTTTGGTGCATTTAGAGTTTCGTGCCTTACCTCGTCCATCTCAGTTCTTAGATCTCCCATCACTTTTATTAAGCTTGAAAAGTTCTTTATGCATGCCTCCAAGAAGAACCACATATCAATTTGAATGTTGTTTCCATTAGTCTGAAACATTGTAAGAAAATAACCTGCTAAAAAATGTTAAAAACAATAACAATGCCTCACATATTCGATTGTATTTCACTCACCTCTCAATCTTGTTTCCTCAAGTTGAGCATTCGAATCGATTCTTTTTGAATCAAGATACTCAAATTTTTCTTGAGACACTTTCAAAAAACCTTAAAGAAAGAAATTTGCAATATAATTCTAGAAGTTCAAGTTTAAACACACAGATGAAGGTAGTGTGTGTTTATGTATGACACTAAGTAACTAAAATGCAATTGGTTACCTAGTGATGTAATGGAACAAGAGTGTAATGAAGACAAAAAAACTTGGAGTGCATGAAAAGACACTATAAATATGATATATATATTATTTTTGTTTTTATTTATTTGATGGGTAGAAATAAAGGCAAAAATATATAAAAGAATAACTGATAAGACAAATATGTAAAGGTAGATGATGCAAGATAGTAAGATAAATCTAGTGTTTAACCTCAGATACTAAATGATGTAAAATCTAGGATTAACACATGCAATCCAAATTCCAAAACCATGTGCTAGTGTCTTTGAGTGAAAAGAAAATTTATAAATTAAGAAGTGTCGAAAATAATAATATGCAAATTTCAAGATCTCAAGACTCTTTACTTTACTAGGAAGTTAAGTTAAATATAAATTATGAATATGATAATTAATGATCTTTTAGATTTTTCTAGTGTTCATATATTAAACTTAATTACGGTTAATGAATTATATTTAATTATGATTCATGTAATTGAAATTTTATGAGTTGTGTTAGTGCCTATATATACTATTTACTTGAAGATGTATGGTGAAAAATTATAAATTGAAAAATTGAGTCTTTCTATTACTCTCTCATTCTTCTTCATTTCATTTCCAATTATGTATTAACTATAGTTAATTTATCTCTTAAATTTTTCCCTAACATCTTATTCATAATTAAACTGGATATATATATGTACCTATATAAAATAACATTCTCGTGTTAAATACAGGCCAATAGAGATCCAACACCTCTTCATCGTGCAGCAAAATTGATAATTAATTCTCAACTGGAAAATGGTGACTTCCCCCAAGAGGTAGGATCCCCCTTCAATTAGATACCTATATTTAAATATATCTATTTATATTATATAAATAATTATTTTTTTTACAATGAATCACCGACCTCTTATGTGAAGGAAATAACTGCGGTGTTCCTAAGGAACTGCATGTACCACTATGCAACATACAGAAACATCTTTCCATTGTGGGCTCTTGCAGAGTATCGCAAACATATTCCTTTGCCGACCAAAGGTCTCTAAATTCAAGTTGCTATTTCTTTGTAGCTTCAGTTATAATATATATATCTTCACAGAGAGAGAGAGAGAGAGAGAAGAGAGGGAGGTAGATTAGAAAACTATCTTAGTTCGATATTCCCCAAGGTCCCAAATAAGAAAAATATTTACCAAAGTAGCATAGCTTATCATACAGTTTTTTGTTGAAGACTCTCATTATCTCCTATGGAATGTGTGCACAAATAAGGATAAATATGGATGACCATGTTAAACTAATTCTGTTTTGATTTCCTGGTCTATGAAATATATATAACCTCAAGTTCTTATCCTACATGTAATGTTTCCTAAATAAATGATTTTATTATAGCATAGTCTAACATAAAAATAGATACAAGAGCCTTTTGTAGTAGTAATCTATTGAGTTAAATAACCTTTTTTCCTAACCATTTGTCTAAGTTCCTTTAAGGCACAAATAAAGATGCTAATAGATAGTCTGATTAGGAAGACATAAATCAAACTAACTTGATAAAATTTTTGATTTGATTCCATGTTTCAAAGAAGATAATATATTCTCCATGAAAATAGAAATAGAACAAGGCTGACCAAATTTACCTCTTGAGGGAAATCCCCATGCTCTAATTGAGAATTTATTTGTACGTAGCACATAACTGACCACAAACATACCTGCTTGGATTCAATAAGGGCTACCATTGCTCATCCAGTGTTTACAATATGTGGTTTGTTGGCCTTGAGATTTATATAGTTTTGCCCAATAGAATGAATATGTGTAAAAGAGGAAGTAAAATCCGTGTGTGAAAGAGAAAATAAATAAGGTTAAATGATATAATTGTTAAAGAAGTAAATGAGACTAAAAAGTATAAAGATAAATTACACTATTTATAATTAATTCTAATTAACTGTTTACTTCTTTTTTTGTTCTTAAAAATCCCATATAAATAGAACTGTAATATTCAATAAAATACATGTCAAATAACTCTTACATGGTATAGAGTTTTGTGTTGAAAAAAACCTACACTCTTTGACACCCTAATTTATTTCTTCTTTAACAATATGGATGATATATCATCGCTAATCAATAAAAAGTTAAGAACAATAGTTGTAATTTATTCTCACAGAAGTGGCAAACAGATTACCATTGTAAAAACAGAAATCTAACACTCAAAATAATATATCACGTAAGCATTTTCTTATTAATAACATAATATTTTTGCAATCTCCTTTAGCGAATATTTTTTAGTTAAGGCCTCACAAATTTTCAAGGGGCTATTTTGAGAGGCATTATGTTGATGACATAAGCAACAGATAATACTGCATCTTCCATTTAGGTTTTCAGAATATTAATGGAAATTATGAGGGCACATATCAAATTTTAGTATGTCATAAAAAAATATAATTCTTCATTTAACAACATCATTTTAATCATTAATATCATATAACTAGTTTGATGCACTATCCATGTGAGTCAAGGTACCCATGAAATGCACCATCTATGTATCTTATTCCACTATAGGTTCGGAGAATTTGGAGCTTATCATCAAAGTTAGAACTAATCATTTTGTGTAGTAGTTAAAAAAAGGAAAGAACCTCATTTTTTGCATATAATAGAAAGATCCATGTCATTCTATTGTGACTGACTAATGAAGGTGGTAAAACATCTATAACTTAAAAACGACACAACTTGAGCAAATCTCTATGTATTTGGATGAATTGACAAAATGTGAATAAAATTTTGATTATAAATCAACGGATAAGAAATTTTAGTTTGTTTAATGCACAAGCATAACAAACCAATGATTCTGAATTTTAATGTTTAAATATAATAAAATATAACTTTTTTAAAAAACAAAAAGTATACAATACTTGGAGTCATTGCACTCTTATGACTGCTCTTACTGAACAAAAGAATAAGATAATGGAGGGAAGGTAAAGGATCTTTACGAAGAACCTAGAATTGAATAAAGAGATATCTCATATTTAAGCTAACAAGAAGAACATAAACTCATTCTTTTCTATCAGTTTCTAGAACCTTGAGCCATTATTAGAACAAGCTACTCAGAAGTCCTGGTAATAATCTAATTTTTGTCATAAACTTCTTAATTCCATGAAGTATAATCTCTCCTTGGTATGTAGCATGCACCTCATCCCATAATGCTTGAATATGTGCATTATTATTAACTTGAAAATTAGTATAAGATGCCTAAATCTTATGGGTAGTAAAATTATAGTAAACAAAAGAGTAGAGGAAGTCTACTTAAATTGAACTCAAGAAGAAAATGAATGGAAAGTCCTAGGAGAGAATGTCATTAGTCTATCGGATGAGAATTTGAGTTGCATCCTAGATTGGTAATACAATAGAGTCTTTAGTTCAAAGAAGAAAATCAGAGTCAATTAACAACCACCTCAGGATGTAGCTCCTTTACAATGTTGGATTAGAGATTATGGATGGAGAGATTGAATGAAGAATTTCTGTATATATTGCTATACCGATTTACATAAATTATACAAGATTTTCATAACGGAAAACTATATGAGATAAAAAAGTAATAAGCTGTTCTTAGAAGTTAGGAACTATATGTTCCTTGGATATATATCAAATATGAAATAAAATCTGGAATATTCTTGGCAATCAAAAACCTTCCAAATTCAGCTTGATGTTCAAGATATCAATTGGAATGTATAGAATTACAAAACAGAAAACACAAGTAAAGGTTATGGCAGAAACAAAATGAGTAAAAAAAGCTTTATAATATTAACAAAACTCTCCTCATCTTTAGAAAACTCCTCTAATTTAAAGTTCGTATATGACCACATTTGTCTATAAATAACATAGATCAGGACCTCGGGTCCATTAAAAGTCCACTTATTTCTCTCATTTTACGTCGTTGAAATTTGTTCAAAAAGTTGATATAGCATAAAACAATCAAAAGGTAGAAAACAAGAGAAACATGCAATCCACAATCATGGAAGTATTTCACTCAAAAATCACAATGTTGGCGCGTACTTAGGTGAGGAAAATATTTTGGAAGATGAAGTAAGTTGATCGTGTATTTAATATATATATATGTATAGATATATCAGTATGCATGTACGTATTGAAGATTAAAAACCTTTTTATGTTTTTAATCTCTAAAAATGTTAAATGATTCATTCTACATCTATTAAACAAATTAATATATATATATATATGTAGAGGTTGGCGTCATATAGATATGAGTTTGAATTAATGGGGTAACTGTTTTGGGTTGACTCGGTCAAAAACTGAGAACCAATAAATTAGGTTGACCTAAGCTGGTTTGGTCAACTCATTTCAGAAAAAAGAAAAAAAGTAGTTTGGTGAACTTCAATTATTAAAGGTAAATTAATAAATAAATTTTCAAAAATTATTTTTTAATTTAAGTTAATATATAAAATAATATTTTTTACTTCAAATACACAATTTTTTTAATCTTGTTTTTACCGGAAAAAACATAAAATAATTAAACTATATTTAAAGTAGTCATAATCACATCTCATGAAATAATTTGTTTGATACACAACCACTGCATAAGTGAGATACAAACTAAGTGAAAAATATTAATTTGAGGAGAAAATTGCATGTGTTTCTCATTCAGATTATTTTATATATATATATATACACACATATATATACACACAAGAATCACAGGGTCTATTACAATCAACTCTTCTAATTGAGGATATTTTTAATTGGGTACAATTAGATCTCCTTGATTCAAGCCATTAAGACCTCCTTGAATATGTGCAATGATATTTTCCTAATTTTATAGAATCATATCTCCTTAATTTGGCCATAATACTCTTCCTCAAATTGGTGCGTAGAGATTATGAATGCTCAACTTGCGTAAAAAATGTTCAAACTGATGTCTACTAAGTTGTTTTTGTCAACATATCTACCAACTGCTCGTAAGTATACACATGAGATGTAGCAATATTCCCTTGTTGCATCTCATCCCAAACAAAATGACAGTTGATCTTAATGTACTTTATTCTTTCATGGTAAACTAGATTACCAGTAATATGTATGTTGTTTGGTTATCACAATATAGACATACAAGACTCTTGTTTGTCACTCCCAAAAATACTAAAAGTCAATTTAACCACTTCAAGTCAGCTTATGCAGATGAACAAGAAACCATAAGTTGCTTCTTGGTCTTCCAAGAGATAAGGGACTGTCCCAACATTGCTACATAACTAGTCAATGAACGTCGGGTTAAGGGGCAGCTTGCCCAATCTAAATCACAATAAGCAAACAATCGTAAATCACTATTAGATCATAGAAAAATTTCTTATCCTAGATTTTCCTTCAAGTAGTGCACTATACGCAATGTTGTTTCCTAGTGGTCTCATTGTGGGTTCTGCATAAATTGAGATAGGACATGAACATAGTAGCAAAGTTCAGGTCTACTAATAGTCAAATATATTAACCCCCCCACCAATCGTCGATATTGTTTTGGGTTGTCCATGAGTTTCCTGTCTATTAGAGCATACTGATGATTCCGTTCAATCGAGATTGATGCTAGTTTTGCTCCCAATAACTCGGTTTCTGTAACAATATCTAATTCATACTTCCGCTGAAATAACAAAAATTTCTTTAGGTCCAAGTACTACCTAAATACCAAGGAAATATTTAAGTATCTTAAGATCCTTCATATGAAACACACATAGTAAGATATTCTCTTACCTTTGCAATAGTAATAAAGTCATTTCCATTAATAATTAAATCATCAACATATACTAACACATTCAGTCGAATTGAATTTTTGCAATAAGTGAATAAAGAATAGTTAGAATATGCTTGAATGAAACCATAATTTTTTAATGTTGCCACCAGCTTAGAGAACCAACACTGTGGAGCCTCTCTATACTCATATAGAGATTTTTTCAACTTGGATACCTTTGTTTAATATGTTGAAGAAAACCCCGAAGGTAGCTTCATGTAGACTTCCTCATCCAAATCAGCATGCAGGAGTGCATTATTCACGTCCATCTGACGGAGCTCCCAGTTTTTCACTACAACTACAACCAATATTGTTCTTATTTCACCATCTTTGCCACTAGAGAAAGTTTTGTTATAATCGATTCCTTCAACTTGATTATTTCTTAGTATTTCTAATTGTGCTTTGTGTCTTTCTATTCCCACATGATTTGTACTTTATATAATATACTCACTTATGTCCAATTGCCTTCTTTCCTGCAGGTAAAGATTTTAGAGTTCATGTCTCATTGTTTTCTAA